TGTTCTGACGTAATCATGCCATCGAACAGTAATTAAAACAATACATTTGTCTTGATATCTTTAAAATATACTTTTTAAATATGATATAAAAATATATTTTATATTTATAATTGTGTGCACTTAGGGCAAAAGTGTATTTAATGAGCGGAATTGTAAACCTGACGTCAATAATAATTAAAGTCATATGAAAAGGATCAAAAACAGTCTTTATCTTTCATCGGAAGTCATGTTTGAGTGGTTATATAAGAAAATAGATGTAAGTAGCCAAAGAAAATTTAAAATTATAAGGACATATATTATATAAAACATATCTTTCGAACTTATATAAAACAAACGCAGTTCTTGTATTGACTATTATTTAAGTATTTTTAAGACGGTTTGGCTATTATGTAAGTATTTCGAACCCGTCCAATCAAATTTATCCGAGGAAACATACAGATGAAAGGCAGGACTGGAAATTGGTTTCTTAAAATTTCTGTAAAAAAACAAGGTACAATAGTTCCATTACAATTATATATTAATTTAAAGGGAAAGATATCCATTATTTGTATTAAATCTTAAGGACTTTATTTAACATGCTGGGGATTGTCTGATTTGGGTCACATATGGACTGTTTTGTTGCATGATTTCAAACTGGTTCATGTGTGATTTTTAGTTCCTACAACATGTAACTAATGCTAACACACCAGTGAATTTCAAAAATTCCCCAATTTTATAGACTTTTTCTAAAACCGTCTTATCTTTAACATTAAAAATTCAACACAGTACTTCTTGTTATAAATTTAAACAATAAGCCAGTTCCAGACGCTGAAAAGGAAATCATCATTTAAGTAATAATAATTTTCTATTACATATATTCTAATGGAAACACAAGCAAGGATATAGCAAAGTACATGAACATTCACTCAACATTTTATTTTACGTTTTGAAAATAACTTTTTGTTGATAATATCAAAAAAAATCTAGAAACCCTCCTTTAAACATAAAATTTTACAACCTTAGGACTTGCTATGAAAAGATCTAAAGATGTCCTTTACATATTAATGTTAGTTTTTAAAACTGTACTGTAAAAAAGGTCCACCAAAAAATACACCTTATTTTACAGATTTCGTTTATTAATTCGAATCCAATTTACTTTTATTTTTAACTTAGACATCTGCATTATTCTTGGTGTCTTTTTTATCACTTAAATATTTAGTGGGCGATGACTAGCAAAGAATTTTTATTTATGTTATAATTGTAGATAATAAATGTATTAAAGCAAATAGGTTGTATATTTAAAATATAAGATTATTTTAGAAAAACCCTGTGTAGGATAGCAACCATAAAACACATTATAGTATCAATAATTAAAATCAATAACCGCTTTATAAATACATCTCAGAATGAACTAGTAACAAACAGTTCATTTTAGTGCTGTGCACGTTTGTGCTGTCTTGAAATAATATAAAGTGTGTATTTCTTATCTTTATGTAAGTCGTTTTATCTTTGTTAAATATGATAATTATTTATATAAAATAAGATCATATAAGGGAGCAAATGTCAAAATAAAATTGATTAAAAATTCTAAACACCCAGAAAAGTTTATAAAACGACTTATTACCACTTGGTATATTTATATAGAACTTAAAGGTACTATTCGCATTTATTTGAAATTTTGCTTACTTGCTAACGATGGATATTATCACGAGAAATCACGAAGATTAACGTTTTAAATAATATGTGATTTCTGGTAGTGCTTTGTGTTGAATACTAAAGAAAAACATTTGACAAATATCGAGATATCTTTAAATCCCCTTATAATATTAAAGAAGGGCGACAGGCATGTTATTTAATAAAATATTTGATTATATTTTAATAAAAATACCTTAAACTGTTACTGAAAAGTCTGATAAAATGTTGAATCATAAAAAACGCAAATTAAATCCGAATAATCAAATTTTATTGAAGTATGTGCTCCTGGATATATTTGATTTCATTAATAATTTTATACAATTACAAATTATTAATTTGCATTAAAATAACAAAAAATATGTATTAATGTACTTGTTAATGTTAATTAATTGCATAAAAGAAAAATATATAAAACTTGGTGAAGTACAGTTTTGTTGTACAGATAGTTTTTTTTATTTAGTTTTAGAATTAAAGGTAAACTTGTCAATAAAGAAATATAAAAGTGTGAAAGATACAAACATATAGGTATTTTTAAGCATATCACAATAAGTAATTCATTATGTCGCTACTAGGTTTTAAAAATGCAAGTAACGTTTTAGACTGTTTCTATGCACAATACCATCTAGAAAATATCATATTTATATCGGCAATGATTTGAAAATTTTATATTAAATCGTTTGGTGTTTACATTTTATTAGTTACAATAATATTTTAGAAATTTTTGAATAAATGTAAATGATTTAAATATATAAATTGAAAACTTTTAATTTATTAAACAAGTTTAAAAATAATTTGGAAACTTACGTTCAGCCACAATCATCGGTTACTGCGCATTTATTGACATTTTTCAAATTGCAAGCGTTTACTATTATTATTTTACAATTATAGGTAGCTAACCACAACAGAGTTAGCACTATACTTACTAGCGTCATAAATTGCTGCTTTTATTGTCGATTAGTCAAACAACATGTAATAAAGCTGTTCTATTTTATTTTCGTAATTTTGTATTCATTTTGTATAACATACATATTTTTTTATTTTCCTATTTATATTTTACACACCATCCTGCTTAAAGTAATTAGCAATTCTACTCCAGGGAATAAGTGTAATCAAGCAAAATTATTTCGATGTTGTGCTTCGTCTTTTTAGTCTGCAGTTTTAGTTAATTTTATTTTTGACAAAGGTTGAAATTATTGTTATGATATTGTAATATGAGATCCAATTAAAATATCTTGATATTGATGCTAATTAACTATTCATGGTACGCATTACAAGTATTTCATTTCGAATCTTCTTACGCTTATAAATCAGATTATAGGATATCCTTATTTGGTCCAGAAATTGAATTTAATGCCTTCTAATCCCTCACAGTTAAATAGACCAAATTGCATTGAACCTATCTTTAAAACCAGTATTTTATTTAAAGCAAAAACTTATATTAGAAAACATTAGAAACTACTTTTAATTTTTAAGTTCAATTTAATTCCTTTACATTTAAAATTAATACATATAAGTAATAGTTAGCACCTTATAAAATTAACTGCAATTTTGTTAAATACAATCAGATTGATGGGAACTGGTTTTTTCACTTACATAATTGGTTGTCTTTTCTAACCAGCAGAAACTTTAATAACAGGAATATAAGTAAAGGTATTGTTATTTAAATTAATAGCTAAGCTTGTTTATTCTTCTGGACAATATTTTTATCTCCACTGAATAATTTTGAAAGATACCATACGCATAACCCTAATAAAGCAAAAATAATGAATAAAACAAACAAGACACTTAATATTAATTCAAGTTCTAAATACTGTGCCCACGTGATGTTAGCTCCACGTGCTCGTAAATGTTTAGCTCCACCATGTCTCAATGTATAATTTATCCACCAGATAGCTCTCTGCAATGCTGACTCAGGCTGATCCTCCATTATATTCCTTAATCGTATAAGGTTTTCCTGGTAACTGAAAAAAATCGTAATGGAGACAATTTGGTTTAGAATAAATAGTGTTAAACAATTTTACAATAGGTATGTACTTTGTTCGTATTTTAATTTTGATACAAACATATATAATTGAGTTTTGCTCAATACGAGTATGTAGCAGTCGTAAGAAAAAGTTATACCTGTTATTATTTAATATTGTTTCGAGAGCTCCGCTAAATATTTCTTCACTGAGATAATCTAGGTCAATTTTTATCCCAATTCCGTGATAAACATACTTTTCCGCATTGTAAAATTGATCACCAAGTACTGGAATTCCAATCAGGGGTACCCCAGCGTTTATTGCTTCTTCGGTTGATTGCAGACCGCATTGTGTGATAAATAATTTTATGTTTGGATGGACTAGGAACAGTAAAACTTTTATATATTTGCAATTGTAGTTATTTAAAGAAATAAACATAAAATTTATATTAATGCTATAGTTAAAGACGTCAGAAAGGATATGCAAGACAACCAAGTTACCATTTTTGTCTTATTCGATGTCACATTTGCTTTTAACGCTGTTTGATACCTTTTTATCAGCTTTTTCATAATGTGTTTAAATATGCAAGCTAAACATTTTTTTTTTAACTAAAATAGATAGTTTTGTGAACAACAACGTAACTGTTGAGAAGGTGTCATGATTTTTTTACCTGCTTTAGAAATAGTTTATTTTGCCTTTTAATATGTCTTGGAAACTTTTAATTACGACTAAAATTCACTATCATTCATTGATATTAATTTCATTGAACTATGCTTTTCGAAACTAACGAAATCTCTTTGACCAAACTGTTTTCAGACACAATTTAATATTTTTGATCCATTTCATGACGACTTTTCACTAACATCATATAAACGACTACAAATACTGTCTCGTGTACTTACTTAAAATATCATTTTGTGGTAGCCATTGAACATATTTTATGTTACTCGTTTGTGCGGGCATTCCTTCTTTGTCCCATTTCCATAAAACTCTATAAGGCAGCTTAGAAAGCACCTTTATCATAATATCAATTTTTTCAGGAGAAAGCAGAGATGTATTAACATTTGTACCAAAACTTATGTAAACAAATCCCTTTGTAGATGTATTCAAAAAATATAAAAGATCCTATAAAGTAAAGTAAAATTAATTACAAACTTTATCAACATATAACGAATATATACATATTACTATATAACTGAAATAAAAGATTTAGACACATTTCATTGCTGTGTAGCTAAATTTATTAATAGATATGCATATAATTCTTTTAATACGCTTAAACAATTACAAGCAAGACAAAATATGCATATAAATCTTAAAATTTATGATTCGAAAGAAAAGATAATTAGTGGCTTTTTTACTCACTGTTGGTATTTTTTCTGGTGGCTGTTTGTGAATACCTCCAATAAACACAACATTTGGTGGAACAGGCTGATTGTCTATCCATACTGGGTGAACATTCAAGAACAATAAATCCACATTATTAGCTAATTCATATAGAGGGGGTATATCAGAGCCAAATAATTTTTCCAGTAATAAGTTTTCTTTTGTTTCACTCTCTATCAGTACTTTTTCTGACACTACATAATTGTAAAAGAACTGTTGCAATTTTTCCCATTTTGTGAGGTTATACAATTTCTCTTGTAGAAATGATGGATATAAAAAAGGGTGTGTTGAAGATCCAACCATTTGATAATTAAATGACATACCAGGTAGAGAACTTATTTGAATAACAGGAACTTTAAATATATGTGAAAATGCCAATGTTTGTCTTGCGCATGCTTCTAATAGCAATAAATCAAAATTTCCTTTTTTCTTTTGAATTATTTCCGCGACTTCTTTTGTGTTTACCAATAGTTCAAAAACTTGAGATAACATTTCAAAAGCCACACTTAGTCGATGTGCCATACCATTATAACTAACACTAGCTGCAGTAACGAAGTTTTTACGCCACAGTTGGTAAGATTGATCATGGATATCTATTTCTGTCAAATTGTTTGGCGCAGATCCTTTTGAATATATAGGATCTGTTGTTATAAAAGTAACTTGATGACCTTGCCGAACTAATTCTTGTATCAAAGGACGGAACACTATTTGGTGGCTGTACGATGGAGTAGGAAACACCGCAAGAATTTTTGCGGATTTTATGAAACCGAGGCTACACACTATGGATAAGATTACTAACTTTAACATATTTTTATTCTTATTTTAACACCTTGCTAGTAAACGAATGAGACTTATTTAAAATATTTTGGCTTTTGTATTGATTGAATTCTTCGGTTATTTTAAAAAAATAGGGTTCAGTTGTTAGCAAAATTAAAAAACGGTTCATAGGTTTAATTAATTACAATTTAATTAATCTTATCGGGATTTAAATTTATAACTAGGTATTAGTAAGGAAAATATGTGATGTGGAAATTTAAGAATTTCATTTTATTTACAATATTTATAAAATTTAAAATAGTCACAAGCATATTTTAAGATTTAATATTTAAATTTTATATATAAAAATAACTTATTATATCCATAGCTTGTTGTTTTATTTTATCTGTTTCTAAAAAAAAAGCTAGAATATATTTGTGTTTAACTTTTAATGAAACATCTTTAAATAACGTACAAATCATTTGTTATATTTTTTCTTTGTCTAGGTTATTTTTAGAATTATGTATAATTTTTGACACTGTACATAATCGCATGTAATTATTCTCTTTACAAAATTATTGTACGCCTAATATCATCGTATCACCATATTTTTCTTCCTCACTTAATTAAAATCTAAACTAGTAAAAATTATATTTTTTAGATCATCTTAAATTTATATTGTTTAAAAGCATTCATTTTACAAATAACAAATATTTATTGGCAGTTCACTTAAAATACTTTGTCTCCATAACATCTTTAGGATATACATATTTTGATACTCAGTACTTTAACTTTTTTTTGAGACTCCTTATTTAGGTCTGGCCTCGACCTGCTTTATTATTTATACCAATATTGTAAATATTTTTCAAAATTTCTTCATCTAGATAAAACTTATCCTGGTATAACTATAGTCTAACATTGAATTTTACCGAGATAATAAGATCTGATATTTTCGTGAGTTTTAATTATTTAAATGTTACTAATATTTTTCGGAAATACTACGCGGTTTTTTTGTGAAAAAGTACATATTCCCGATATTTCGGCTACTTTCGTCTGCCCGTGATTCCGGTTGCTGAAATGTAGTCGAAACGTCGGGAGTATGTAGTTTTTTCACAAAAATAAACCGCGTAGTAAAGCCGAAAAATATTAGTTTCATATATACAGAGATACAAATAGTTTTTTATTATTTTTAGTCCCAGATTTTTTAAGATACTTTCTTGCAATTTGTTTCAAACTAACTTTAACATTTTATTTCCCTACAAAAGCCAATATTTATCCCTCCATATTTCATCTTTGCATATAATTATAACCAAAGGCAAGCGATTGAGATTCGTTTCTGTGTCGAGCAGAAAGATTAATTTGTGATGGTGTTTAATAGTATTCTAAACCAGTTAACACTCGTCTAATTCGAGGTTGTTAATTCAATATATCGACATTATTTTTTAAACCAGTATCAAATCTAAGCACAGGTACTTTCTACAATTGACTATCAAATTTCTTGAGAGATTAAGTAGTAGTGAGCAACACGACACTTGCGTTTGAAGTGAAAACTGTCTTGTAGCGGACTCAAAATATAATGGATTAAATTTCATTTCATTCAAAAAGTACAAACTAAGATGTTTCTCATCAAAAAAAGAGCCCTCGTTTGACGTAGACTACAAATTCCACAACTAAAAACTCCGAAAGTATTCGTTTCTATATTAGCGACATGTAGAAAAGGGCGTTTAAAATCCTAGCAATACTGATTAGGGCTTGATAACATTTTGGTCACTAACATCTAATCGTTTACTTTAAAAAAATACCATTTCAGGACAACCAGCTTAAAAGAACTCAGTTTAAAGTGATCAGATACGAAGAAATTAGTTTAGATGAAAGTAATTTGTTATAATATTTATTAAATTTTCTGTTTGTAACTATCATGTCACTTATTACAAAAAGAATACAATATAATGTATTTTTCTGCAATGTTTTAAGAAAAATCCTAAATCTATTGAAACGTAACAAATGATACGTTTTAATATTATACTATTGTTAAAAAAGTCGTTAAATTAATAAACGTGTTAACTGTAAAAAAAAATGGAGTCAGTAATGTGGCAAAATTAACTGTCTTTTGTATTGTTGTGTTTTTGAATAATTATCTTTTAAGAATAATTATATCAACTGGTTAAGTAATTAGAACCCAAGAATTATTTCAGTGTATTTTTGTTGATAATAGTTACAATCACTGAGAAATCGAATAAGTAAAATATAATACGTTCGTCTTAATTTTTTCTTAATGTAAAAAAAAAACACTCAATGGTTTTAAATAGGTCATAAACACATTGTACATTATTGTTAATTTATAAGTAATATTTTCAAAACGTGAATAAACAGAAAATAGTCTAATAGAGCGGATATTTATGTACATTCATAATGTACGTAAAACCATTTTAAAATAATGACTTTGATTGCTATACTACTGTGATTATGTACGATATCCGTATTCATTTTGTTATGTCATCATGACAACTCAATACAAAACGAAGTATTCTTTAGATAATTACCGCTTATGAGTTATCTATGTGCTCTTAATGAGTTAATTATCAGATATATTAGTCATTAATTATTATAATTTTATTTATTGGCCATATATCTTTTACACGTTTGTAAGATAAAGTATGTTAACATATGTAAATGTATATATGCATGTAATATTTAACTTGATGGAGAATCAAATAACGATTGTATTGTACTATAAATTTAATTTTTCGATAATATAAAATAAAAAATACATATATTAAATGACATCATATCGTAGCTATAGCTTATTACTTCCGCTATTTTAGGCAATATAACACTTTAATGAATAAAATTTGAAAGTTTATTAAAATAACTTAATTTTCTTTATTACTTAAAATTATTAATTAATGTTAACTAAATCACTTTATTGAATTTTAATTTCAACACGTTTCTTAAATTCTTTCTAACTCTCTTGCTCTTAATTATTATTATTATACTAGAGTGTTTAATACATACACATGTATGTACGCAAATTATGTACAGTACATGTAAATGAAATATGTTTTATAGTAAAAATAGTATTCTCTGAACAACTTATTATTAGCTAAGATTGATATAATTCATAGGTTTTTGAATTATATCAAATTTTATGTACCTATAGGCAGAATAATTGTAGCTACACCTCCAAAATGTGAGTACAATAAATTCTGCTGATATAAATCAGTGCTTCGTTGACTTATAGGCAATATATGATTGTAAAAAATCGTATAAAGGTAAGTACTCGTATTATTTTAATAAACCATTAACTCGATTCTGAAGCATATTATACTCATTATAATATCTCCAGATTACGTGAATACAACTTTAGATTTTGATGAGGAATATTGAAGGTAAACTCAGCTCGCTTAATTTTTCCTCTTATCTTATATCTTTTTCTGTTTTAAAAGCTATCGACACTCTTCTAATTGGCAATTACAATTTTTAAAATGTAGATGATAGTTTTCCGATAAATTCTTATGTTAACAATTATGTTTTCAATGTGGTTATAAAGTAGACATCTAGCAAAAGATTTTTTATCATTTCGCTAGAGGAACCTATAAAAACAGTTCTAATAATAGTAATAATAATAATTTATTTCAGTTATTTCACTAATGATGGTTTCGGAAAATAATAAAAGAAATCTAAAATTTTGGGCCTTTTATTACCAATTGGAAAATCAAAAGCTTAAATTAATAACTTAGACATTGTTTTCATATTGATCCCTCATAAGACTTTGTCTATAAATATTCTTTGATGCTAGATTCCGCATATCAATTTTGCTCTTTTAAAGTAAATTTCTACGTGATCTCACTTTGCGTCATGTTAATTCTTTGAAATCTTCGAATACATTAAAAATATTTTGGCGTTAATCTTCCCACATCGGGATTGTGCCTCGGTAATTATGAATATCTTATATTACCGTGCTTTTATGCTTAATTTATATTGAAGCAGTTATATTAGATATACAAGATTACGGAAAATTAAGACTGTTATTCAATGCTTTTTATCTACAATAACCTTTCCAGTCCAGTCCTACTGGTGTGGCATCAAACTTTCGTTTTTTTCATAATCAAAAACATCAACAGACTGGAAAAGTATTCAGCTTCAAATATTAATTTTATTGGTAAGTTTGTTTGATAAGCCTCAGTTTAAAACCTTATTTCCCTTTTAATACTTAATTTATATAATTTGGTTCTTTTTTTTGTTCCGTTGTAAGCGCAAACAATTTTTAGGGTCGGTAGTTTGAACGATTGATATTTGACTTGAACAATGAAATTACTAAAATATAGTACTACCTATTTAAAGTGCGTAATTCATTGAACTCGCTACTAATTTTAAATGATTGTTTGTTTTTTTTTGCTGTAATAATGCCATTGTAGCTTTATTATTGGTGTTGTCTATGTTTCAAATATAAAATTTTCTAAATGTTCGCTATAAAAAACAAATTTCGTAATTATATTGAATTCTTTTTGTGAAAAATTCTTTATAATCTCTAAAAATCAATAAAAAAAATAAACAGAAATTATGGAAAATAACAGAGCCAATTAATACACTTATATTTAAATACAACGGAACAGAATTCATTAATTGAAGATAAAGTTTATAGTAAATATATATAAATTATAACGACATGTTACCCTGGACAATCAGAAGTTAGTTTCAATATCTTATTGATAATAATAGTTAAAGATAAAAATATTGTTGATGGTTTTAAATAAAATTATTTTTGTATATTATTTTATAATATTTGTTTCAAGATTAAGTGAAGGTCACACTAATATAAGTGCAGCACTATCATAGTTAATTCTTATTTATTAGAATAAATGGAGCAATTTATGCCAGCTTTTAAATCATTATCGTTCGTTTTACAGCAGTGTCATAACGTTCACAAACGGTAAGCAGACGTCATATATAATATGAAAATTGAAATATTGACTGTGTTATTTACTCTAGCATGTGTACATCAAGTAAAATTAGCAAGAATATTAGGAGTGTTTCCAATACCATCGCTTAGCCATCAAGTCGTTTTCCGTAAGATTACGCAGGAGCTCCATAAACGTGGACATGAACTCACAGTTTTAACACCAGATCCAGCTTACCCCAAAGGAAAGGCACCCGCAAATTATACCGAAATAGATTTTCACGATGTATCCTACAAATTATTTAGATCAAATATTCACTCAAATTATAAAATAGAAGGTTTAACATTTACCTACGACTTGCTTCGTGATATGAATCCCCTCTTTATGAAGGTCATTGAGTATCATTTTCAATCTAAAGAAGTCCAGGAAATCGTAGCTAATAATAAATATGATCTGATATTGTTAGAATCTATTGTTCTCTCGGGATTGATTTACTCACACATATTCAAGGCTCCAGTCATATTAGTGAGTTCCTTCGGAGGCTATATAAATGAACATAAAATAATGGGGACCCCGACTTCACCTATTTTATATCCATTGCCTCTGAGAAACAAGATTTACAATCTAAATTTTTTTGAAAAGATAAGAGAAATATATAGACATTATTCAAACGAATATGCAGAATATTTGAATGACCTTGATAATGATATATTGTTAAAGGAGAGATTTGGTCCCCAAACACCAACTATAAATGAATTAAGTGAAAATATTCATATGCTCTTTCTGAACGTTCACACCATTTGGGCCGATCATAAACCTAGTACTCCGAATATTGTCTATATGGGTGGTATACACCAAGTACCACCGAAAGATTTACCGAAGGTATGTGCTATTCAGAAGCATTCTCATGGTTAAATAGAATAAAATTGCTATCAGTCAGTATTGTTTGTAATATTCATCAGTATTCAGTGTCATATGTTTAGGATTATTAAGTTTGAAAACGTTGTTTTTATCTTCTTCAAAAAATCTTATTCATAAGCTGTTCAATAAATATTTCAGGACCTTGAGACATATCTAAACTCTTCTAAACATGGTGTGATATATGTGAGCTTTGGGACAAATGCTTTGTCATATATGATTCCTTCAGATAAAATAGAAAATGTGGTGAAAGTTCTATCAAAACTCCCATATGATGTGTTATGGAAATGGGATCGAGACGAATTGCCGGGAAAGACAGACAATATTAGGTTATCCAAATGGTTCCCACAATCTGATCTATTGAGTAAGCAATTGCAACGCATACTTTTTTTTTGTTAAAGTTGGTTTGATATTAAGCCTATCAAGAGAAGCATAATTTTAAAGTTTTTTTGTTATCTTTTGCAGCATAGATTTTAATGTGTATTTACATAAACGTTATTTAACAATCGGCTAGTTGGAAGCACACAATTAACAAATTTTTTAATTTATATTATACTTCTAATATTTTGAAAGTGAATTGCATACAAAACTGTTATAAATAGAAATATAGGAATATCAATGATTATAATTTGTTTGACTTTTATAACAGTAAAATAATTAAATGTATGAATAGTTCAAAAACGTAATTTCTTTGCAGGACATCCCAATATAAAACTTTTTATAACTCAAGCTGGACTGCAATCTACTGACGAAGCTATAACTGGTGGGGTACCTTTAGTTGCCATACCAATGTTTGGCGATCAATGGTACAATGCTGAAAAATATGAAAAATTCGGTATTGGTATTCAATTAGATATTACAAGCTTTACAGAGGAAGAACTGCATAATGCTGTAATCACCGTTATAAATGATGAAAGGTAACAATAATAGTCTCATCAATAATATAAGCATTAATTATATTTAAAATACACTGATTAAACAATTTCAATATATTCATATGGATTATAACATAATAGACGTTAATTAAGTTTAACCTTTGTTATGCATGTTTATATTGAATGATTATTATTTTAAATGATTTCATTATTATACCTTTGTCTGGAAGACAAGCATTCTTTGCAACAACTGTGTACCTATGTCACGAAAAAGTAAGAATTTTATTTGTTTGAGTTCTTCTTTATTACAAAAAAGAGTTAGATTAGTAGTTAATTTTATTTAATTAAAAATTAATTTACAATTAATGACATAAATTGAAAAACAAGCAGCACCTGTTAAATAGCGTTTTTGATTTTAATAAAAAAATACTATAAATAAGATCTTGACAACATAGAGTCCAAACAGAGTATTCCAAAGATTGTCATCTTTGGGAGCTAATTTTGTGTTATAAATAAAGAAGTACTAATGACTTTTACGCTTTCCTTTTAGCTACAGAAACAACGTAGTTAAACTTCGTGAAATAATTCTGGATCAGCCAATGAGTTCTATAGAACGCGCAATGTGGTGGACAGAATATGTATTAAGACACAAAGAAAAGAATCATTTTCGTACTCTAGCTAGTAACTTGTCATACATGGAATACTTCGACGTCAAGTTTTGGATGATTATTTTTGCAATCATTGGTATCTTTTTAACGATATTTGTGATAACGATTGCTTATATTATTAAGTTACTAAATAGAATATGGATTTATAATAAGATTAAAACACATTAATTACTCACACGTTATTGTTATCAGTTATTTATGTCTTCAATTATGTAGATAAGTTCTAACGAGTTTAAGTTTTAATTTAATATCTTCAGATTTTTTTTATTTATGGATAAATTATCTGTTTCACATTTAATTCAATTCGTAGCAGTTTTGGGCAAGCCTTAAATAAATAATATATTTTAGTGAATTGTTATAGCCAAACATTGTAATAACTACCTTATAATAAGTTTCCTTAAACTTTTTTCTGATATCTTTTGTTTGAATATAAAGGTTATCAATTATTTATTTTAAAATGGCTGTAATTGACCAGATCAATACATAATGCTAATTAGTGAGAAGTGAGAGGTGGCTTTTTGTATGCAGTTAATTTGTTGCAATGGTAATAATACTGCTTAACTGCTTAGTAACACTTATGTAGTACTTAATTCTAATAATGTAAGGTGTTTTACTAGTTTTATCAATGAAACTGATTGAATCTTTTGAAGTTATGACATATTTGTAGTAAGAACCCAAACACGCTTTGATATTAAGCTAAATTTCCCAATTTATAATGCAAAACCTTACGTATTTATATTATTACTATATATGTAGCTTGAACATTCAATATTTTACTCATTTTGTGTTGCAATGTAATATTTAAGACCTTTTTTAAATTATTATATAAGTTTTACTTTATCCGATATCAGAATTTTAACTAAATTAAAAATATAAGGATTTTTTTGTGATAGTAATTCCAAAAAATCAAAGTATTTTAATGACAAGTCAAATTCCTTTCGAATGTATCGCAGCAATCGAAAGTATCCAGTAGAAATATTTATAAAATCATCGGCACTAGTGTTCAGTTTGCTTATCAAAATTACTGATAGTCAAATTATTCTTATTTATTAAGTCAATAAAAGGCGATTGCTCATAAATGCAATAATTAAAATGAGCAATTACATTTTCAGAACGAACTAACTTTCAGCTTAATGATAACAAAGTAGCTATCAGTGTAATGATAACGGTTTAAGGGTAACTCGAGCACTAAGATTGTGTTGAGAAGATGGCCATTTGGCGGTTAGACCGTCTTTTGTGTCACCAAAATTTTTTAAACATTGTTTAGTTTTATTATTTGTGTTTTCCCTATATTGCGTTGTATAGTAAAGAAATAATTAAATATAATTAAAACACATAATATCATCACCTCTTTAAAAATACTGTAACACCACAAAACAACTATGAATTAATTTTAAATTGTTATCTCACAATGTATGAATTGATTTTAATTATTCGGTCTAGGCCTCCCTACGCAACATGCATTTATATCATCATTTATATTATCATAGGGCAATTTGAAGAGATCCCGTAAAAAATTTCAAGTCGAATAGTTTTCGGCATTCAAATGCCGATTCCTCCTGGACTATAATAAATTTCAACCAGGTGGTGCGATTTTAATGGTTTATTTCATTTTTAATTTGAACCAGTTTCTATAATGGCGGCCATGAAAAAAGCATATAGATCTAAAATTAACATTTAGTACGTGTACTACAAATTAACAAATAACTCCAAGGCCAACTGATTTCGATTTATTTAGTTTTAAATTATTTTTACAACAATACCAGATTATGAAATCCTAAAAATGTATAATGGCTTTCATAATACACATTAAGTAATTACTTTACTTAAGTTTTTTATGTGTGATCTTCACCGTCAGAAGACAGATTTCGTAATCTTCGCCAACTTCAAAAGAGGAGGAGAGTCTCTCTGTACGGTAAATCATTATTTATCATTCATCTTAAAAATTATCAACTGTAGCAAAATTTTTACTTTAAGGTACTTTAAGGCGATACATAAACGTAACCGACGCTTACTTGTGAGCACGCGAAATTAACCATTAAAAACAATTATATTTATACACCTATTTTGTATGATACACATATTTTTTTTACTTTTAAATTTAAATTTCATTCGTTTTCCTGCATAATTTAAATAGCAATTTCACTTCAAGGAATAAGGGTAATCGAGCTAAATTATTTCAATGTTTTACTTCATATTTTTAGTTATATATGCCTACAGTTTTAGTTATTTTCATTTTTGATACGTGTTGAAATTATTCTCATGGTCTTATAATATGATATTAAATTAAAATATTTTGATATTTATATCTATTATCGAACTTCGAATCTTTAGTTATTTTATTTAAAGCAAAAAACTTATATTTTACAGTAAAAACTAGTTTTAATTTCACTTTAATTTCCTTACATTTTAAATTAAAAAGCAATAATTAGAATCTTAGAAAATTCATTGTGCAGATTTTCAATCTTCATATACAATCAGTTTGGGTAGGAGCTGTTTTGCACTCTAATGGTAATTTATATATAAATATTAACATAATATGTTCTATTAATTATGTGTAATTTATTAATTTAAATATATAATAAATTAAATGAATGGCTAAGCTTGCTTATTTTTAACGACAATATGTTTATCGGTACTGATTAGTTTTGAAAGATAATACACACACGTCCCTGATAAAGCAAAAATTATAAGTAAAACAAACAAGACACTTAATATTAATTCCAGCTCTAAATACTGTGCCCACGTGATGTTAGCTCCACGTGCTCGTAAATGTTTAGCTCCACCATGCCTCAATGTATAATCTATCCACCAGATAGCTCTCTGCAATGCTGACTCAGGCTGATCATTCATTATATTCCTCAATCGTATAAGGTTTTCGCGGTAACTGAAAAAAATCGTAATGAGACAATTTGGTTTAGAATAGTGTTAAACAAATTTATGAATATGTACTTTACTCGCATTTGAACTTTGACATAAACAAATATTTGAGTTTATTCAATATGTAGCAGTTGTAAGAAAAAGGTATACCTGTTATTATTTAATATTGTTTCGATAGCTTCGCTAAATATATCTTCACTGAGATAAGCTAGATCAATTTTTATCCCAATTCCGTGATAAACATACTTTTCCGCATTGTAAAATTGATCACCAAGTACTGGAATTCCAATCAGGGGTACCCCAGCGTTTATTGCTTCTTCGGTTGATTGCAGACCGCATTGTGTGATAAATAATTTTATGTTTGGATGGACTAGGAACAGTTAAACTTTTATATGTTTGCAATTGTAGTTATTCAAAGAAAAAAAAACATTAAATGTATGTATTGTTCAACACCGAAACTTTGGGATTAAATCAACCAGACATAAATGTTAATGCTGTAGTTAAAGACATCTGGAAAGATATGTAAGACAACCAAGTGCCCATTTTTGTCTTATTCAATGTCAAATTTGCTTTTAACGCTGTAAGACACTTTTATATCCGCAATTTGAATAATATTTTTAAATATGTACAATAAACATTTTTTTTAAAGAAAAATAAAACAAAAATTTAAATGTATTCATGGTGTCACAATATTTTTGTTCTTTATTACGGCATGGACTTTTTTAATTAGGACCAAAAATAACTATCATTGAAATGTGCCTTTCGAAACTAACGAAATCCTTTTCCAAACCGACTTTCGACACAATTTAATATTTTTATTACATTTAATGACGACTTTCCACTAACAGCATATACATTAAACGACTATAAGAACTCTCTTGTGTACTTACTCAGAACATCCTTTTGTGGTACCCATGGAATATATTTTATATTATTTATCTGAGCTGGCATCTCTTCTTTATCCCATTTCCATAAAACGCTATAAGGTAGCTTAGAAAGTACCTTTGTAATTATATCCATTTTTTCCGGAGGTAGCAGAGATGGGTTAACATTGGTACCAAAACTTATGTAAACAATTCCATTTGTAGACTCATTCAAATAATGTAAAAGATCCTGTACATAGGTAAAGTAAATTAATGTAAACATTATCTTTTTACTATCACTATGTCTGAATAAGAAGTATAAAATATTATTATATAACTGAAATAATAAATTTAAACAAATTTTATTGCTGCGTAACTAAATTTATTAATAGATAGGCATGTAATGCTTTTAATATGTTTAAACAATAACATGCAGAACAAAGTATGCATATAATTATTAAAATGATTTAATCGAAAAATAATTAGTGTCTTTTTTACTTACCGTCGGAATTTCGTCTGATGGCTGTTTGTGAATACCTCCAATAAACACTACATTTGGTGGAACAGGCTGATTGTCTATCCATATTGGATGAACATTCAAGAACAATAAATCCACATTATTAGCTAATTCATGTAATGTGGGTATATCAGATCCAAATAGTTTTTCCAGTAAGATATTGTCTTTTGCTTCCATTTCCATCATAATTTTTTCCGACGATATATAATTGTAAAAGAACTGTTGCAATTTGTTCCATTTTGTTAGGTTATACAGTTTATCTCGAAGAAGTGATGGATATAAAAAAGGGTGTGTTGGAGACCCAACAATTTGATAATTAAATGACATACCAGGTAGAGAACTTATTTGAATAACAGGAACTTTAAATATATAGGAAAATACCAATGTCAGTCGTACGCATGCTTCTAACAGTAGCAAATCGTACTCTCCCCTTTTCTTTTGAATTATTCCCTCTACTTCCTTGGTTTTTACCAATTCTTCAAAAACTTGTGACAACATTTCAAAACCCATTCTTTGTCGATGTGCTCTACTTTTAAAATTTACAGTAGCTGCAGTAACAAAATTTTTCTGCCACAATAGATAAGATTGATCATGGATATCTATTTCCGTCAAATTGATTGGCGCAAAGCCTTTCGAATATATAGGGTCTGTTGTAATGAAAGTAACTTGATGGCCTTGCCTAACTAATTCTAGTATCAAAGGACGAAACACTATTTGATGGCTGTACGATGGAGTAGGAAACACCGCAAGAATTTTTGCGCATCTTATGAAACCGAGACTACATACTGAGTATAAAATTACTAACTTTAACATATTTTTGTTCTTATTTTGACGACTTGCTAGTAAATGAATGAGAATTATTTAAAATATTCTGGCTTTTGTCTTGAATGGATTCTTCAGTTAAATGAAAAAATAGGGTTCAGTTGTTAGAAAAAAAAGGGTAGGTACAACTAACCTACTTTTTTATTTTCCTTTTTTTAAAATAACTGATAATTTAATTAGCCTATTTTAGTTAATTTAATTAGTCTCACCGGTCTTTTAATTAATAACTTATGGCAAGGAAAATATGTTATCTTAACAATCACAAACATATTTTAAGATTTAATATTTTATGTATTAATTGACTTAATATGTCTTTACCTTGTTGTGTTCTTTTATCTGACCTTCAAAAAAATATTAGAATATATTTGTGTTACACTTTAAATCATACATACTTGGCATAACGTAAAAATCGTATTGTATATTTTTTCTTTGTCGAGACTATTTAAAATTATGTAAAATTGAAGTCATTTTACATAAAAGCATATAATTATCCTCTTTAAAAATTATTTTAGCAACTAACTATATTTCGATTTCTCGGTTAGTATTAACTAACCAAATATTAATCTAAACTAGTAAATACGATATTTTTTAGAACTTGGTTCGATATTTTTTAAAACTATGGTTGGATGATATGGAACTATGGTTGGATTAGACGTTAACATTTGTTTGGTCATTTGCATTAATTAATTAGCTATGATCGAAGCATTAGCTTTTAAATAAAACCGCATCGTTTGGTCTAAACTTATCAGGTAAAAAAATATTTTAAAGAAATACGGACGAATTGATAACCTCCTCCTTTTTTGAAGACGATTGAATAGCCAATAAAGCGAATATAGAAATAAAAATTTCACGTAATTTTAAGATTGAAAACAAAGAATTTGTACAATTTGTATATGTAATATAGAGGTTGACAAATGACCATCACAAAATTATTATCTTCATCTTTCATGAAACTATTTATTACTCATCAACTATTTATTACTTCAGTAGTAGTAATTATACATTTAATTGATATTGAAACTTTTATTATTTCATAATAAAAAATAATATAGATATTGGATTCAATACAAATTCTTTATTTTTAAGAAGAGAGACGTTAGCACCGCTGATGTCACTAGCATCATTTATTTCAGTACGTACCATGACATTTTTAAAATAAACTTCAATGATTCTAAACGACCTTGTATTTCATGAAGGTTATTTCGTTTAACTTATAACAATAATAATTGAATACCAATAACTTTTTATTATAGTTGACGACATCCACAAGTATTGTCTGAATATACCCTGAAACTTATTAGTTAATTGAAATATGAAATATGAAACTTATTAGTTATTATATTTAATAAAAATTTAATTGTAATTGTATAAAATATATTACATAAAATTTTGCAGCGGCAACTACGATTACTATGAAAAGGGAGTCATATTGAGTATATTGTATTGTAGATGAAATAAAAAACGGAGTAACCTTAGTAAAACCATTTAAATACATTTTTATAAGTCCAATTAAGGTAGGAAAAAAATACTTATACAAAATAATAGATAATTTATTAGTTGTAATATTTCGCTTCATTATTTTTTTGTGATTTTATGATTTTGACTAAATTATACCCATTAGTAAATAAGTTGAAACTAATTCGTTATCTATTTTTACTCTTATTCTTTTTTCTGTAACAAACGTTGTGTAATGTCGCAAATCTTATATCATACCGACAAACGCTACTTGAAGCCTATCTTTGGGGTTACTAAATATAACTACACTGCATTTAGCCAAATACGGATTATTATCCATTAGTCCTTTTCACCTCGTTTCAAGGAGTCTAAAACTATTACGTGACAATTTTCAGCTCTTGTGCTTTTTAGAAACAAAGAAATTGTCCCCGAGGGAAGTAATGCTGTACTTTTCTAGGTCGGCAACTTTACTTATAACTGCGTTATATTTGCATTCAAAAGATCAAAACCAAGACACTCCAAAGCGGAAATACTGAAGACGTGTGCTTTCCGTTATTTTTGGTAAAAGACACACATTTAGATAGCTTTTAATTTTACGATATTGACAAGGCCTTAATCATAAACTGCCTGTAGTATAAAATTAACCCTTTCTATCAAGGTCTCTTCTTTTAATTCAATTTCATTTCAACTAACCCATAAAACTGGAATGATACTACTCTCTGCGATCTACCTAACCAAAAACTTGCAGTGAAAGCTAATGGGTAAAGTACAACAAAAATAGAGTGGCAGAAAAGACAAGCCTCTGAGAAAAAAAAACGGGCCCTCAATATGTGCGATAACCAAAGAGTTTACGAATAATGCTCTTGTGTCAGGGCTTATCGAAAATTATTGTTATGTTGAGTGGACTAGAGTTTCAATGTCATTTTCTAGACATTTTTATCACAAAATCTATCGCAGTTGATCGATCTATAAAACCCGTATTGTCAGTCATTGATAACACTATTTTATATAAATAAATAAATAAATATATTATTAATGATTAATAGCTATTTATATTGATTTTAGTTGGTATTGATTTGAATATTTTTAGTGATTTTTATGCATGAATTTAATGAATTATTTAATTTTAATGTTATTAGTTTGTTGTGGTTTTTAATTTGTATCAATTTTTGCTTATTATTATTATTATTATTATTATTACTTAGATCTTTCTCGCTGTAATTATATATTAATATATTTTTAAAACATTGTAATCGTTGTGGCCACTTTAAAAAGCTACACATGTAACCTATTTCGATTTAATTGTTTTATATTCGGCATTTAAACATGTTAGTGGCCCTTAAAATAAATAAATAAATAAAAATAAATATTATTCTTTCAATATACTTTACAATCTTGCATAGTATGTAGGTGATTGAAAGCAAGAGATTATTAAAAAGACGATTATTTAGACACAATATCAGTTATTAAGATTGTTGGTGGTAGTGGTGTAATTGTTGGAGAGAAAGAAACAGATTTGATGCATATTTTTTAGCACTATGGCTACATAGCATACTCGTACATTATAACTGAGGTACTGGAGACTACACTTAGATCAGTAGTGCGCGAGTGTGCGAGTTTGATCCTGACCCTAGCAAAGTACCTATAACACAAGATGGTGTACATTTTTATTGTACGATAGTTTATAATGGATTTGGAAATAAAACACTTAATAGATTGTAAAATAAAGTAACATAAAAAAATGTTGAATATTGTGTCTATATTTAATAAAAATTATATTACTGTAATCAAAATAAAATTATATTCCGTTTTTAAATAGCAAGGTTAATATTTGCGTATAAAATGTCAGTATAATAAATAACAATTAATAAGAATTTATAGAATACATCAAGTTTAACTCGGGTTTATTAGAATTGTTTATTTCACGGCAGTATTATAAAGTGAACGAACGTCGAGTAGACATACGTAAAAAAATGAAAATTGAAATATTAACAGTTTTATTTATAATGTTGGTATGTGTATATCAAGTAAAATCAGCAAAAATATTAGGGGTGTTTCCCATACCATCATTTAGCCATCAAATCGTTTTCCGTAAGATTACTCAAGAACTACATAAACGTGGACATGAACTTACAGTGCTAACACCAGATCCAGCTTACCCCAAAGGAAAGACACCCGCAAATTATACCGAAATAGATTTTCACGATGCTTCCTACAAAATATTCAAATCAAATATTAATTCTAATTATAAAAGAGAAGGTTTAGCAATTGACTTCGATATGGTTCGTGGTATGACTGCTCTGTTTATGAAGATAATTGAATATCACTTTCAATCTGAAGAGGTTCAAGAAATCATATCCAAAAATAAATACGATCTAATATTGTTGGAATCTGTTGTTTTACCGGGATTAATTTACTCACACATATTCAAGGCTCCAGTCATATTAGTGAGTTCCTTCGGAGGCTATATATATGAACATAAAATAATGGGAACACCAACTTCTCCTATTTTGTATCCATTGCCTATGCGAAATAAGATTTACAATCTAAATTTTTATGAAAAGATAAGAGAAATATACCAACATTATTCAAATGAATACGCATTATACTTAAATAACCTTGATGACGATAGAATCTTGAAGAAAATATTTGGTCCCCAAACTCCAACTATAAATGAGTTGAGTGATAATATTCATATGCTCTTTCTAAATGTTCATACCATTTGGGCCGACAACAAACCTACTACTCCGAATATTCTATACTTAGGTGGCATACACCAAGAACCGCAGAAAAATTTACCAAAGGTGCGTTTTCCGTTGTAGATATTTTAAAAATAATTCTATTTACAAAGATATATTGCTATCTTTACGAAAATAAACCACATCCGTACTTTTATTTTTAATCGTTCTTTTTAAGTATGTAGCGCATCTTAATTTCTAAGCATTTTATTATTTGTGGCAGAAAAATATTTTTTTTTTTTAACTTTTATTCCTTACTAAATTTTGCAGGATCTTGAGATATATCTAAATTCTTCCCGACATGGAGTGATCTACGTAAGCTTTGGGACAAATGTTTTATCGAGCATGATTTCTACAGATAAAATAGACAATATTGTAAAAGTTCTATCAAAACTTCCCTATGATGTGTTATGGAAATGGGATGGAGAGGAATTACCTGGAAAGTCAGAAAATATTAGGATATCCAAATGGTTTCCTCAGTCTGATCTTCTGAGTTTGTATCGATCAAATTCTCTATTAAAGATCCCATCTCCAATTTTTTTTCATTTGTTTTGTTTCTACAGTAACCAATTTATTAATCAATAGCCATATCTTTGCAGGACATCCTAAAATAAAACTATTTATAACTCAAGCTGGACTGCAATCTACTGATGAGGCCATTGCTGGTGGAGTACCATTAATTGCCATACCATCTTTCGCTGATCAATGGTATAATGCCGAAAAATATGAAAAATTCGGTATTGGTATTCATTTGGACATTACAACTTTTACAGAGGAAGAACTGCATAATGCAGTAATTACCACTATAAATAATGAAAGGTAACGAAATAATTAGCGATATAATATATTTTCTACTATATTATATTTTTTTAAGATATAATTTAAAATATACTGAAATAATAGTCGTAAGCTATTTATTAAATCTTTATTATTAAGAGTTTTATTGCGTATATTTGTATCAAAAAGATTTCTTTTTGAAGTAGGTATTGAAGTTGAATGATTTTTTTATGATTACATTGGTAATATTCGTAGAATAGCTACAAAAATACTAATATGTTTACTGTGGGACACATATTCGAATGACGGACATTCACACTTTCGTTGTTAATCTTTCTTGTATCCGAATAAAACAATAGACTGCTTGGTTTGTCATGTGCATGGCAAAGAATTGAAACAGTTGGCTTAAAATGAAATGTGGCTTTCTGTCCCGCTGACATTAATTTTAACAGCTAACTTTTGAAGCTTAAATAAAAAAGTATAATTTACGGCCGTTAATTTATGTCGGATATATTATTTTTATTTGAAGACATGTTTATAACCAGAGCTACAGTTAAAATAAATAAAACACTTCTTTACTGATCATCAAACTAAAAATACTTCAAATTTCTTATAATTCGTTTAATCTTTTATTGGAACTCGCCAAAGACTAATGTACGTTTTGCTAGTTTTTTTTTACAAAAAATAACTTCGTTATAAAGTGTTATCTGAATAACTTTTTACAGTAAGAGTATAAAATATTAATTGTGTTCTCTTTTAGTGATAGCTTTCAAACTCAAAATGAATCTCACCAGAATTAAGAGCCTAGGATTGTTTTACATAAATATTACTTAGTGCAGAAAAACCGTACAAGTGTTTTGGTAGTAGTTGCAATTATTGTTGTCTGTGATGTATACCCTATGAAGAATATTTAATTCTTACTTTGTGCTTCTCTTTTTTCGTTATTTTAAAGTAGGTTGAAACTAAATTTTAACATTGTCCCTGTGTCAGTTATCATATAGCAGTAACTTCAGCAGGTTCTAACGTTACTTTTGTACAATATACAAGTTTTAATATCCAATTATTTTTTATTAGTTTTTCAATTAAATAATATCAAAAATAAGAAAAGGTTTAGTTTTTTTTATAGGATTGTATTGGAGCAATTATGTAGTATATCTCTGTAATTAACATGTCTTGCTTAAATTTAGTGATCCACTTAGTTGTGAAATTGTATATACTAAATTTAAAAAGTGACCTTTAAGTAATTATACGAAATTACTTAATAAATTAAATAAATTGTGAAATTATAAACAGTATAATAGTAAACAAAAATTGTTGGGTAATCTACGAAAAACTGGGTCTTATAAGCAAAAATCACTTACCAGATTCTTATTCAACTTAACCGTTGTTGAAAATACATCTTACGTATTAAAATATCATAGACAGAAACTAAATACATGTACATTTAAATAATTTGATTACGTTAAAATTCGAACTATGCAGACATATCTGAAAACTGTCAAAGTCATATAAAAGTCTAGGTATTATAGTCAAAGGGTTTAAAATACAAATGTTAATTTTTACTTTTAGCTACCGGAACAACGTAATTAAACTTCGTGAAATAATTCTTGATCAGCCAATGAGTTCTTTAGAACGTGCAGTTTGGTGGACAGAATATGTATTAAGACACAGAGAAAAGAATCATTTCCGTACTCTAGCTAGTAACTTATCATACATGGAATACTTCGACGTCAAGTTTTGGGCCTCTATTTTTGCAATCATTGGTATCTTTTTAACATTATTTGTGATAATGATAGTATATGTCATAAAGTTGCTAATTAGGATATGGTTCCCATATAAGAAGGTAAAAAAACAATAAATATTACGAAATATAGTTATATATTTTTTGTTATATGTAAAAATAATGAGTCTAACTAAACTGTTAATAAAATATTGAACTTATTTATTCTTTATTTGAAGTTTAATTTTTATACGTATAAATATAACGATGCTGAGGAATATATTCACAAATAAAACATTTTAAGTGTTATTCTTTCAACAGTGTCATAAATGTGTTTATAGGGTTGTATTTTTTGCAGTATTTGTTATACATAAATACATAAATATGAAATTTATGTTTTTTTTTATTAATATCTTATCATAACCCTATTTGTAATGGTGTAACTTGCCTGAATGTTTATGTCTTGAAGCTAACTTTGGTTTTCAGATTGTTATAGCAGTAGTCGATTAATTTCTTAAGTATGAGAACAGATTCTTGAAACTATGCTCGCCTTTGATATACAAGTTTGATAAATCGTGATGTCAAAATATGTACATATATTGCATCAAGATTCAGGATGTAAGTAGGTATGCAATATTATGGATTCTCTGTATCTTATACAGTATTAGGTACCTAATAATGCTAAACTGCACAGGGATATGAGTGATAGTGTTGAAATTGCTACTGAGTACATCACTAGCTAATCAACCACCCAACACTTATTACATAATTACAGATATAAAATATTATCTTTTGCTCATATAAGTAATTATTTAACAGAATAAGTTTCTTTAACTACATAACAGCCAGTTATTAGTTTATTTGCAGTCCATGGTACACTTTGAATGACTTGTGAAATGAGTTGAATTAAGAGAAGCATACATAGGTTTTCATACAACCGTACAAATATTTTCTGCATGTAACACGAGTTATGACGTAACGTATTATTTGTATTAAAAGTAAATAACGAGTACTAGTGCATACGACCACGTTGGTTGGAAGGCGACACTAGTAACTGCTACATGAAAATATTCCTGTTTCTATCGATAGATGACACTTTTATCTAATCATGAATCAAATGAATCTATAAATCTCTGTAGATACTGTATGTATCTACAGAGATACAGAGTAGGCATATAACAATTTATGATAACCTATTTTAAATTAAGAGTATTTATAAATTAAAACAATTAATTTCAAGTTGTGGTTTTTGCAATTAAATCCCGTAAAAAACCTTTTTTAAATTATGAAGGAGTGTTTTTTAAGTTAAATAGTATTGCCGAAAATTTTTATAAAATACTTTTGTATGAGATGTAAAGCAAATAAGATATTAATAATAATTTAGTGGGTAAATTAGAACGATAGATTAAATTGGAATATGTACTCTTGAATATACAATATTTTCTCGACAAATTGTATAAATCTTTTACATTCTCTCATTCGATTACGCCAAACATATCCAAGGCCTGTGTCAGCAAATTTGCGTCTATTTATTACGTCAATCGCGCCGATAGAGGATTTAGAAAATTTGCGTCCGTCGAAATATCGAGATTGATTTGAAGGCAGGAATATTTCACACACACGCACCATATTGAAATTAGGTAGGATATTTTTTCATTTTATTATCCTCGCTTTTGTGCTGAGAGAACATTTATATAAATATTGAATTGTCTCATTACTTTTAATTTGTTTCATCACAACATTGTAACATGTTATGTTTATGATTAAAGTATTTCTACCATAAAACCATAATAAAGCAATAAATTTTAACAACTGTTCTTGTACTAAGTTGAAGCGATAATGTTCAACGATATGCTACAGAAGTAAAAGTTTTCGGTTGTACATCTGGAAAACAAGTTGGAGAATGATATATTGCTTTCGATATTACTTATTTAGGTTAATTTTCTCAACAAGATATTTTCATTTTGTTTTCATTAAAACAAATTTTTCTTTTAAAATCAATTGTTATATAGCTAAACTTCATATTTTTGTTATTATTGTATTTATAGAGTAAGATTATGTGTATTGTATTTTTTTCTCATCCAACAATAACTAAATGAAATATCAGGTAGCAACCACCACAGCACCATATTATGAGTGCCAGATAAGTACTGGATGACTATGAAAGCGGTTGGTTGTTAACACAACGAATTTTTCAAATTATAAAGTAAAGTATTATTTCAAATGGATATAAGAATATTTCCAAATAGTACATATTTAAAATGCATTTTCTTATATACGAAAGTAGTGATGTGATGAGTTGAAATGGAGTGCAATAGTGCTAAAGTGCAAATGAAAATCTTCATGCGTTCGATCAAAATAGGTAGGATAGAAATTTACATAAAGCATGCAACAACTGATATCAACATATTTAATTTGATGTCACAATGACGGTTACAATTAAATCTGTTTTCTTGCACAATATGTAAATATTCATAATCGACGTGATCTATTTATTGTGTATATAACGTAGCACAGTCGTGTTTTTCTTAAAATAAAAACCACTTATTTGTGGTCTACATGTATGTATTTATTATATGTATATACAATTCTTACGAAAATTAAATTGGCCCACCTTACGAATATTTGAAGGTATTATTCCAGATAGTATATCACCCTGACTGTTAAATTGAATTGGTGAGAAGGGGGAGGATTTAGAATGAATTGAAAATAAGGGCTTCCGGTCCTACTGTAATTGTTACTTACTCGATTTACTACGAATAGTCGTATTTCCTGAGTAGAACCAGCTCACGTATCATTTGAACTCCACTAACTACGCCTAGAGTCAACTTAAATATACAGTTTTATAGCTTATAATAATCTCAAATCAAATTAATGTATAAACAATGAAAAATCACTAGTAAGTAATCTTTTGTATTCGTTTGCTTTGGAACTTCTGAGTGTTTATGCATTAAGAAGAGAGTTTGTATTGTCGTTAATAATGAAAATGTTTCTAATAAAAACAGAATATTATACCATATATTAATACCATATATAAATTTTATTTATAAAATTATACCATATATGGAGATAATTCCATAGTGACTTATTCAGGTTTTGATTTCTTTGAGAAAACAAAACATCAGGACTATGATAAACTACATCTATAAGGCACTATGTTACTATTGAGCATCCGAATATATACTTTTTATGATCCTAGCCAGACTGCAAAGTTATAACTGGTGGAATACTATTATTTGCCATATCAATGTTTGGCGATCAAATTGTATAATTGTATTCTACAAAATGTATAATTTTGCTATCCGTATTAAGCTATGCATATCGAG